TGAGATCATGGCTGATCTAATAATCCTCAACTTTTCTTTTTTGCTTTGTCCCCACAGCCATGATCTCCTTACAGATTAAAAATCTGTCTGTCTCAGCCATTAATTTACCTAACCTCTACAGCCCTCTGCAGTAAAGAATTTCAGAGATTCACTATCCTCAGAGAAGAAATTCCTCTTCATCTCAGTCTTAATTGGGTGACTCCTTACTATGAGACTGTGCAGTCTGAACCTCAACTCTTCCACAAGGGGAAACGTCCTGTCTGCATCTACCCTGCCAAACCCCTAAAAATATGTTTCAAAAGGTCTTCTCTTATTCATCTAAATTCCAATAAGTACCTGGCCAACCTATTCAACCTCTTCTCATCTAAAAAAAACCCCTCCATACTCAGGATCTAGTGAACCTTCTCTGGACTGCCTCCAATGCTGGTATAAATTTTCTTGGGTAAGGGGACCACAACTGTTCACAGTATTTCCACTGTGTCTGACCAGTAGTTTTAGCAACACCTCCCTATTTGATACTCCATTCCCTTTGAAATGACAGGCAATATTCCATTTGTCCTCCCCATAACATGCCAAACTTGGACACCAGCTTTTTATGATTTTTGCACTAGGATCTCAAATCCCTCCATGCTGCAGCTTTCTCCAGTCTTTCCCCATTTAAATAATATTCAGCTTTTCTATTCTGCCCACCAACGTATATAACCTTACATTTTCCAACATTATATTACATCTGCCAAGGTTTTGCCCATTCACTTAAATTTGTCTCTAATCAACATCACATAGATAAGTTATCTAGTTATTATTGTGTTGCTATTCATAGGAGCTTGCTGTTTGCAAATTGGTTACCATGTTTCTAACATTCCAACCCTGGCTATACTTCAGAGTTCATTGGCTGTAAAACACTTTAAGGTTTCTAATGATTATGAAAAACACTATATAAATTCTATATAAACAAAACAGACAGAGGAAAATACATCAAAGTTATAGCAAATTGAGCAACGAATAGTGAACTAACTCCACAGAGGCCAGTATCCCATCACCAATCACTAAAAGTAAAAAGAAAAGAATGTTGGATTAACTGGTGCTGACCCAGTACTAATGTGAGCCGTCCAGGACCATGTGGAAAGGAAGAACAATCTATGAAGTCAGAATGGCCACAAGTGATTGAGTGCTGTGAGGTCCCTTGCCTTGTGACAATGTAAGTGCTGTCTCAAACCCCTTTGAGCTTTCTGAAGTTGCTGCATTGAGTCATAAGAGTTTTTACAACACAGAACGAGGCCCTTTGGTCCATTATGTCTGTGATGGCCATCAAACATTATTCTAATCGCATTTTCCAGCACTGAATCAGTATGCTATGGCATTTTAAGTGTTCATCTAAATAGTTTTTAAATGTATTGTGGGTTCCCACCCTACAAATCCTTTTGACAGGGAGTTCCAGATACCCATTCACCATCTGGATGAAAAATATTTTCCTCAAATCCCCTCTAAACTTCTGCTCCTTACCTTAGAACTGTATCCCCTGGTTATTGACCTCCTTACTAAAGGGAACAGATTCTCCCTATCTACTCTATAGCCTTTAGAACTTTATATACCTCACCAGATACCCCCTCACTGTTGTCTGCTCTAAGGACAACAACCCTAGTCTGTCTAGTCTCTCTTCAGGATTGCCCCAATCCAGGCAATGTCTTTGAGAATCTCCTCTGCACTCTGTCTAGTGTAATCATATTCTTTTTATAATATGGCAACAAGAACTTTGACTTAGAGGGAGAGGCTGAATAGACTGGGGCTTTTTTTCCCTGGAGTGTTAGAGGCTGAGGGGTGACCTTATGGAAGTTTATAAAATCATGAGGGGCATGGATAAGCTGAATAGTCAAAGTCTTTTTCCCAGGGTTGAGGAGTCCAAAACTAGAGCGCAAAGGTTTAAGGTGAAAGGAGAGATTTAAAAAGGACCTGAGGGTTAACTTTTTCATGAGGACGGTGGTGCATGTCTGGAATGAGCTGCCAGAAGTAGTGGTGGAGGTGAGTACAATTACGTCATTTAAAAGGCATCTGGATGATTATACAAATCGTAAGGGTTTAGAGGGATATGGGCCAAATTGTGACATTTTTGACTAGGTCAGATTGGTATGTCTTGCTGGTGAGGACGAGTTGGACCGGAGTTTGTTTTTGTGCTGTTTGACTCTATAACTGCACAGAGTATGCCAGCAGTAGCCAAAGTAATGTTATATGCAGCTCCATCACAACCTCCTTACTCTTGTATTCTTTGCCTTGACTAATGAAGACAAGTATCTCATATTTTTTTTTAGCCACCTAATCAACCTCTCCTGCTGCCTTCAAGGATTCAGGGAGATGCACAAGTTCCCTCTGTTCCTCTATACTCCCTAGGGTTTTACCATTTTCGTGTACTCCTTGGCCTTGTCAATCCTTTTAAAGTGCATCACTTCACAATTTTCAGGATTAAATTCTATTTGCCATTTTTAGCCTATCTGATCAGCTGATCAATAATTGCATAATGCTGTCATTGCAGGCTAATTGACTATTAAACCTGCCGCAAAAAGATAGCTTGGTGCTCAGCGCAAGGACCTTACGGAATTAAAGAGTCATTTACTGCACACTATTCAACCCGTTGAGTTTTTTTCCCCCAATTCTCTCTAGAGGAATTGATTCAGCCCCATCCCCCATTTTGACCCCATATCCTGCAAGGTTATTTCCTTCAAGTGCTCATCCAATTTCCTTTTTATATCATTTTGTTTCCCCTTCTGTCACCTTGTCTGCAGCCAATTTCAGAATAGTGCCACTCTAGCTGGTTTAAAAAAAAACTTCCACTCATTTACATAGATGATTTGGAGTTGGGGACTAAGTGTGGTGTGTCAAAATTTGCAGATGACACTAAGGTGAGTGGTAGAGCAAAGTGTGCAGAAGACACTGAAAGTCTGCAGAGGGATATAGATAGTCTAAGTGAGTGGGCAAAGGTCTGGCAGATGGAGTACAATGTTGATAAGTGTGAGGTCATCCATGTTGGTAGGAATAACAGCAAAATGGACTATGTTTTAAATGGTAAAAAATTGCAGCACGCTGCTGTGCAGAGGGACTTGGGTGTCCTTGTGCATGAATCGATAAAAGTAGGATTGCAGGTGCAGCAGGTAATTAAAAGGGCAAATGGAATTTTGTCTGCCATTGCTAAAGGGATGGAATTTAAAAACAGGGAGGGTATGCTGCAGCTGTATAGAGTCCTGGTGAGGCCACAGCTGGAGTACTGTGTGCAGTTTTGGTCTCCTTACTTGAGAAGAGATATACTAGCACTGGAGGGGGTGCAGAGGTGATTCACTCGGTTGATTCCAGAGTTGAGAAGGTTGGATTATGAGGAGAGACTGAGTAGGCTGGGATTGTACTGATTGGAATTCAGAAGAGTGAGGGGAGATCTTATAGAAACATATAAGATTATGAAGGGAATACTTAAGGTGGAGGCAGGGAGGTTGTTTCCGCTAGCAGGTGAAACTAGGACTAGAGGGCATCGCCTCAAAATAAAGGGAAGCAGATGTAGGACTGAGGTCAGGAGGAACTTCTTCATCCAAAGGGTTGTGAATCTGTGGAATTCCCTGCCCAGTGAAGCCGTTGAAGCTACCTCGCTGAATGATTTTAAGGCAGGGGTAGATAAATTTTTGAACAGTAAAGGAATTAAGGGTTATGGTGAGTGGGCGGGTAAGTGGAGCTGAGTCTCAAAAAGATCAGCCATGATCTTATTAAATGGTGGGGCAGGCTCGAGGGGCCAGATGGCCTACTCCTGCTCCTAGTTCTTATGTTCTTATTTACCCAATTCTCTTCAAGAAGAGTATAGTAACCCTGCTCACTACTTACCCTACCCAATATCCCAGCAAACCCTTTGTTCTTTGAATAATGAAATTCTCTTTTGAAAACCATGATGTTCCCACCACTGAGACGAGTGTATCCTAGTATAAAATCTCAGAGTGAACTAAATGTCTCAGAAATTTAAGCAAAAACAAAGACCAAGTCCTTGACATTAAGGTTGGGAATTTAAAGGGGTATGCTACTAAATTTTTTTCCCTCCAGAAAACCTAAGATGAGCATTTTGCAAAACACATCTCAAAAATGGACCACCACAGAAGAGGGCTCAGTTGCTGCCCAATCGGGAAGAGTGAGGGGAAAAGAAAGAAGGTGCTGCGAGCAACTCAGGTGTGGCACATCTGTAGAGAGAGAAAGAGATTAGATGTTGGGATTTTATTGTCACATCTACTCAAGTACAGGAGTACAGTGTATAACGTTGCCAACAAATGGCCCCATCTTAGGTACCAAGGTACAAGCAAAAAAACTTAGGTACAAATTCGTATGAGAAACCAGAGTTAAAAAAAGTTAAGAGAGATGAGGGAAAAGAGTTAAAGTTTCAAGTCCAACTGATGAAGGGCTATTGGAAACATTGATTCTGATTTGTCTTTTCCCTCACTTTATCTCCAGAGATGCTAACCCAGACCCGCTGAGTTCCTTCCCAGCAGACAAATAGGAGGCTGGAAGAACATAGCAAGCCATGCAGCATCTGGAAGAAAGAAGTCAACGTTGACTTCTTCAGGGGAGCAGGAAAGTTAACGTTTCGGGTCGGGACCCTTCATCAGAAAGTTTCAGGTCGGGACCCTAAACTTTCTGAAGAAGGGTCCCGACCCGAAACATCAACTTTCCTGCTCCTCTGATGCTGCCTGCCCTGCTGTGTTACTCCACCTCCACACTGTCTTATCTCTTGACTCCAGCATCTGCAGCTCTTGCGATCTCTAACGTTGACTTCTTCTTTCCTCCAGATGCTACCTGGTTTGGTGTGCTTCTCCAGTCTCCTAATTGTCTACCTTGTGAACCAGCATCTGCTGGGTTTTTGTTTGGTCTCTCACCGAGCGTTCCCTCCCAGCCCTTCATGCCTTGTACTTTGATATCACTATCAATTTGAAACTGGGGGAGACGGAAATGACGCCACCGACAACCCCGGGTGGTGGGCGGGGGGATGCAGGAAGTGACGCAACGGACCTGTAAGGTGGGGGCCGGTTTGCCGTTGTTGTGGGTGCGCGAGACCGAGAAAGTGAGAGAGAGCGGGAGCACAGCTAACGCGGATCGGTGAACGGCAAGAGGAGTACGACGAAGGTGAGGAAGAAACGAACGAATCGGCGCAGGCGGGTAACAAATGACAGGCCCCGCGCGCACCGCTTAACGTACATCCACACCCCTTCTTTAAATGTAAATAAAAACCAGGAAAGGCCTGGGGCCTACCGAACGGGCCTGCGGTGGGTGAGGGCGGCTGCTCGAGCGGACTGGCCACCCGCCAGGCAAGCCAGGCACCCGGCGAGCGTGCGCAGCGGCGCGCGCCAACCCTTTGACACCCGCCGGGCGCTGCAGGTGGGCGGGGCCGTCCGCGCGCTCTGGCAGGTGAGGGTGGGAGAGCGGTACCAGCGTCAACGTCACAAGGGGAGGCGGGTGGCGAAGGTGAGATCGAGACAGTCTTACCTGTGCATACGGGGGTGAGGGGAGAGAGAGAGAGAGAGACAGAGACAGAGACAGAGACAGAGACAGAGACAGAGGTGAGCCTGTGTCCGTGTCCCGCATCGCAGATAAGTAGGTCTCATCCCCAGGCGCTGATTGTTGCTCTGGATTGCGGTTCGAGGGAGCGATGGAAGGGGGACCTTGCAAACTCAACTTGCGCTGTTGGAAATTGCTTCCCTTCGACCAGAGGGAATTGAAGCGAAAAGAAGAACCCCATCACTTGCCCGAAAGGAGTGTCCACGATTAGAAAATACTCTTTTTGTTCTCCAACCTGGAATGTCAAATTTCCACTATTTTCTGCAAGGACTGGATGGACTTCTGCTTTACTTGTTTTCCTTCACTTAGAAATAACTGGTGAATGCATTTCGTTTTTAAAATGAAGGAGTAATGTTGGGGCAGCTGCCAAGAAGCAGTGGGAAAAGGCCACCGTCCAAGTATTTCTACTAAAATATAATGAGGGTCTGTCAAGTTTCCAAATCTCCTTGTAGCTTTGATGGGAATGTAAATAGTTTCTTTCATGTTTAGAAAAAGCATTTTTTTAGTTGCACCATGATTGAAGCTCTGATGAGGAATGTCAAAATTTTGTAATTTCTAAAGTCTGGACTGAACTATTTTGTCTGACTTGGATTTACTTGAAATTTATGAATAAAGTATATTTTTGAAATAAAGAATAACAAAGGCTTGCATTCCTACAGTGGACTGCCGAATTTCAGCCAATTATAGACCTGAAGTGCAGTGTAGCCTTTCCTGGTGTGATGTACGAAACACAGCAGCCAATTTGTCCACAGCAAACTGGTGCCCAGTAGATCATTTCCCAATGGTGAGACCATTGTGCTGAAGGTTGTTGGGCACATAGCTGTCATCCATTTGATGAACATGGTTGAGTAATGGGTGTATGCTGATAAAATTAACGTGCCCTCAGTTAATTGCTTTGTTTTAAGAATGAAGGTGGAAACTGTTCACCTTTTCTCCTGCCCAGCATGTTAGCCAAGTCTCCCCATTCTAAAGGAGATGCTAGTTAGTAGACTCGGTTTGTCTTCAGTCAGGTTGCTGTCTTGGAGGTGGGGTTTCAGCAATAAAAGGTCTATTGATGTACTAAATGTAACAGATTTATCATAGACAGCAAAATGTTCTTATTATGGAATGAAAATAGAGTTAGTGATTGAGTCAAAGACCCTATCAATGTGGAGAAATAGCATGTAGTATAGTAGTTGATGGGGCTTAAAGAGACAAAAACAAGGCAAATGTGAGATTAGAACTGTTCGTATGGGTACTAACCAGCAAACTGGATTGATTAGGCCTGTTTTGGTGCAGCTATTTCTGAGCAATTCTATGAAGATCTAGTTATTTGCTGAAGGGATGAGGTGTGTGCCGATTTACTGTATTTTCAAAATCTAGTTTTGATTTTTTTCCTTCCAACAGCAAGTGGTACATTAATTAATTTGTCTGAGGTAAAATGTGCCAGCATACTTTGTAACGATAGCGAAGCATGTACACATAAGTGCAGACAGTTGTTCTGTAATGGAAATGGATTGAAAACTGTTTCTTCTAATACTATAGAAGAGGTAGAAAGTCTGAATGTCTGTTTGGATCCAAGTTTCTCAACAATCCTAATGCTTAATCTCAATGCTAAAATAGAGAACAGGAGTAGGAGTAGAAGCCCTTCCAGAGATGAAGAAGGGACACTGAACCTGAAACCTAACTTTGCTTTCTCTTCACAGATGCTGCCAGACCTGCTCAGCTTTTCCAGCAATTTCTGTTTTTGCTTTGAGGTGGGGAGTGGACTGATAGTTAAGCATTTGATTCAGACAAAGTAGTTAGCAGGTAATTGCAATTTACACTGCGATAGCATTAAAACTTCAGGAGGAAACGTATAATAAGATCACAGACAGATATTTGGGATCCAGCCAGTGTAAACAGCAAGTAGGTAAAACAGACATTGGCATCAGTGGGTTTGATTAGTATTGGGAAGGTGTAATCATCAGCCAGTTCAGCATGATATTTGATGTCATCACCTTTTAGCTCAAAATTAAGGCTGCTCTTAAATATTGATAACACAGTGTGGAGCTGGAGGAACACAACAGGCCAGGCAGCATCAGAGGAGCAGGAAA